GATTCCTCGGAATCCCAAGCTCCACAAGACTAAAGGAAGAGCACACGGTTCGGGGACTCGTGTTCGGAGACTGTTCCCCAGGTAAACCTATATCACATTTGCCGGGTGTTCCCAAGGTAACACCAGGCATTCCATATCTGCCCATCCCGGGGCGCGGTCTAGCCGGCAAGGAGCAAGCACTTCATATTCTAAGGGTCTCGCCCATTGTTGACGGCTGTCGCCGGTGGAGTCTCTCTCCGAAAGACACAGAGTGTGTATTTAAGTTGCGTATTAATCCCGTCCCGGACTCAGGTAGTGTCCCCGGACGATTGTGTGTTTAACTACCTATCTGGCGTACTCTATAAAGTCGGGACCTTCCTGGAAGTGACTTTTCCCTGATCCAAACAACCGTTTCGTAGGGGGTACACAAGGTGAGGTTATTGACTGAGTTCCGGAGTCTTACTATCCCATAGTATGTCTTTCTCCGAGCTCACGGCCCCAGAAAATTCCCCCGTTCGGGAGGAGCCGTCAATTCACAGGGAACTTTGATCCTACATTCCAACTCTGATCCAACTGGTGCGTCACAACCACCGCTTGCGTTCGAGCTCAGAACCAAACGTTCCAAGCGCTACGTCACACGTGGTGCGCGTGCCTGGATCGGGGTAAGTTTGATCATTCACAACTTCTCTTATTATGTCTAAAGAACCTACAGATACGCCTCAGCCTCGGGACTCCGGGGTCCCGCCTCTCGCGGCACTGCGAGAGGTCGAGCCGGACTTGGGGGACGCCCTCGATTTGAAGCTCCAACATCACGCCGTTTGGCTCTCACCGGAACGGACACCAAAATTCCGGTCCCGCCGAGTTTTTGACGACCATCCCGAACTCCGGAGACGCTGATGACCTTCCAGCCCCGTTGAGCCTGACGACCATCCCAGGCTCAGTCCGCACCGATGACTCTGGGACCAGCCCGGATGAAGACCTACCGGCGCCGAATGCCGTAGGGAGCCGCGAGTAGGCGACCGTCAGCTCGCTGTAACCTGCGGCCCCGCCTGCTCCTTCCGGGGACGCGGGCACAAGACCATCGGGGACGCCCGACACCCTGGTAGTGGGGTTAACCACTGCAGCGCGGTGGAACAACCCACCGCCTTGTCTGCTTCCCTCGGGAACGCAGACACCAACCTGGTGGGTGCGCTCACCAGCAGCAGCGCAGGACAACCCGTAGCTGCCACACACTCTGGAGTCGGGGAAACCGCCCTGACGACCCGGAGGCCTCCGGGACCAAGCGCGACGCAGACACCTTCGCTGAGACTCCATCGTACAGTCGCCGCTTCCCTGAGACTCCAACCTTGGGACCACGTTGGTTCCCCAGCCTCGGCACTCCGCGGTCCAGGTGCGTCAGTACGTGGCCACCCAAGAGCAACGCTGATAAGTCGGGAACCTGGCGTCGTGCCACCTCCGGACCCGTACTACCCAGACCGGCATCACTGGTCGATGAGGAATTGGCTCCTGGAGCAGAAAGAGACCATTCGGCACCTTCGGGAAATCGTGTCGGCTAGTAGCCCGGGGCGGCCTTGGACCGCCAACTTTCGGAGTAAATGCCTGTGCCTGTCCGTGGTCGCCGACCCCCTGGCACTTCAGGTCGAGTTGGAGGAACTGCGCTTCGCCGATGGTCCTCGGGACTTCACGTCCCGTGATCACCGTGCCGCAGGCCATGTTGCACAACGCGGGCTACGCGTTCCTGAACCTTGTTCCAACTTCGGGACGCACGCTGAGCCCGGAACTGCTCACGGCTCAGGACGGCCAATTCATGTCCGACGCCAGCTTTCTTTGGGGACTGCTGACGATCGAGCACGACGATGCTCCGTTCCAGGCTCTGGGCCCAGAGACAGCATCCGCGTTCCCTTTTGAAGATGATGGCGACGCCTTGGTGTTGACGCCCGAATAGCAGGAGTAGTTGGGGACCGCGATGATTACTCGACTGAGGTTGGCACACGTTCGTCCCCGGGAGTGGTCCGAGTCCGATGCGAGTCGACCCGAACCAAAGCGACGCCGTGGAAACACCGACGCGCCGTTGTCTGTGCCTTCGTGGCGAAGCCACTCAAGTCTGGGGAGGGCCTGTCCCCGACGTCGTTGGCACGTCCAGTCTGGCCTCTGGAGACGCACAATGCTGACCCCGGACGAGAACATGTCGTCCGCGGGAGGAGGTTCCCCGGAATCCCCTGGTTTGGAACCCTCCGCGGCAATGGTAGGCGTATACATGGCCACCACCGGCTCGGGAACAGGACCGTCCAACGTCGCGGAGCAACCGACCTTCTACGTCCCGGTCGCCGAATACTCGCCGGGTCAGGACGCATGGCTCCCACCTCGCGCCCCGACTCCGACGCCGCCGGTGACTCGGGGTAGTGACCCGGACGGGCTGGATGAAGAGACCAAGTCGGACGACCCCATGGCAGATCAGAGGCTCCGTCTCTCTGAGACCGGCAGGAATTGGGAACAGGATTTGCGGGATGCGAACCGACAAATCTTCGAACTCCGTGCCGCGTCGGCTGCCCAGTATGAACAGGAGCGGCTCCGACATGAGGACTACCGTGCAGCCCGAGCCGCCCAAGCCGCACAAACGAAGATCTCCCGAGAGGAGTGGGAGTATCGCGAGGCGGAATACCAAGACCGAGCTACTCGAGAAGAGGAAAGGAAAAAGACCGCGGACCAAGAATTCGCGAGCCTCCAGGCCAAGTTGTATTTGCTCAAGAAAGAAAGGGCACGGGGACGGGAAGAGGATTCCCAGTTCCGGACCGAAGCCTCCCGCCGGATGGAGGAGGTGTCCGAGCAGTGTAACCAAGCAATTTCCCGGGCAACGGTTGCCATAGAAGAGACCAAGATCCGGGAAGACGAAGATTTGCTCCGGATCAAGCGCGAGATAGAACATCAGGCTTGGGAAGACCGGGCCCGGGTAGATCAGGAGACCGAGCTCCGGGAGGTCGAGTTAGAGGAGCTCCGGATGTATCGGGAACAAGCGGCTGCAGGACGTGCGCGACGTCAGTCTCGAGAGCGGGCCGCGTCCCTACACTACAGCGGGAGCGGGCGAGCTCGGGGTGACAGACGGTCTCGACACCGCGACGGGAGCTCTCCTCGTGGGGAAGCCATCCGACCAGTACTGTAGCGGATAGAAGCGGTGCACCCGCGGGAAGAACGTCAGGGACGGCATCACACGAAGAGATGATACGAGCCCTGCCGGCTCCCGCCGCGTCTGTCCCCAACTCTGCACGCGGTCCGACGCCAGCTCCCGGGAGCGCAGCTCCCGACTTCACCGCTCCCTTCTCGGGCCAGGGAAATGCCCAAACGATGGCCTCAGGCCCTCCGAGGTCAACACTGAACCCCGCGGCCGGAGGATTCAACTTCAGCCCGAGTTCACCGGCCGACCAGCCCCGAAGACAGGCGTCGAGTAGACCTATTCTACAGGCGCGCACACCGGTTCCCAAGCCTACACGAGCTCGAGACGAGAGTCCCACCCACATGGCCCAGGACCAGCTCCAAGACCTTTCCCAGCGCTTCCGTGGTCGGCTCCAGAAGATCCCTCAGGGGCTTCAACCGCGGGCGGTTCCAGACTGTCCAGCACCGCGCCGACCAGGGATAGCATCTTCGGGAGCACAGACCAACCATCGTCCCGACCCGGAGACTCATACCGTTGGGGATCCGGGGGCCCTGGAGCCTTTGGAACACCAGCGGCCGGAGACTATGTCCCTGGGTACGGTGTGAGTTTCCGATCCTTCACCGCCTATGACGTTGTTGAGCCGTTCGACACCTCGCGTTCGCTGGACAAGCGTCGTGCGTGGTGGGACAAGTTTCAGTACACTGCCAGCAGTGGGGGTTGGTGGGAGCAGGAGTTGTGCACTCGGCTCTCGTACAACCCGGGTACGAAGACCTGGGTGCAGCAGCTTCCGGGGTCGGTCCGTCGGAGTTGGCGACAGCTCTTGGACCGGTTTTATAAGGAATTCTGCAGGTCTACGGAGACCTCGGTCGAGCGCTACCTGCGCCTGAAGCAGGAGGCTCGGGAAACGCCCCGGACCTTCCTGTGGAGACTCAACGCGGCGGCTACCAAGGCCAACGTGGGCTACCGCTCCACCTCCGGGTGCCGCTGACATGTGAACCAATTCCTCAAAAACCTCCGGGACCAGGAGCCCCGGTTGAGTCTGCAGGTACGAGTCTATTTCACCACGGACGAGCTCGAGGATGTCCTTGAGCAGGTCGAGGAGATGGAACAAGGCATGCGCCAGAAGCCCGCCAACGACGTGCAGTTCGGGCGTCACAAGCCCCAAGGCACAGGTCCCGGCGCCGCGGCCCGTGGGGGTTCGGGGGCGTATGCCGCCATGGCGGCTCTCGAAATCCCCGAGTCCCAAGCTCCAGACCCCGGAGACCTGAGGTGGGAAAATGAAGACGACTCGGGTTACGGGCACCAGTACGACGAGGAAAACGACGAAGCTTATGACGGTATGGTCGATCAAGAGGAGGTGTTCCGCGCTGAGGTCCCAGGGCCTTGGAACGACCGCAACGGACGTCCCCAAGGCCGCCCCGACTGCAGGGGCTGGAGACACTCTGGAGCTCCTAGACCCTCGGTTCCGTGCCCCGTGTGCAACAAGCTCGGGCACACTCGGGAGCGTAGCTGGCAGCTGATGAAGACCGACCGGTGTGGGGGTAAACACCCAATCAGTCAGTGCCGACGCCGGGAGTTCGAAGTGTGCTGCCAGCTGCATCCGGCTGGGGAATACGCAATCATCAAGGCCTTCAAGGACGCGGCCTAGAGAGGACAGTTCCAGGGCCTTCCGGAAGAGGTGTTGCAGAGGTTGCGCCTGGAGGCCACTCCGGCGTTAAACAATTAGGCTCGCTGGGTAGGGACCCAGTACACGACGAGCCTAAGCCCCGTCGGACCTGCTGCGCCTATTTGTATGTAGGTCTTAACGAACCTCAATGTATGTCAATTGCATCAACACCCAGTTCCGAACCCGATTCCGTCTATACCAGCCATGTCGCCCCGGACGAAGATGAACTTTCGTTTGAGCTCCAACCCGGGGAGCGCCGAGGCTGGTGGGATGCAAACTCTTGAAACTCTTGGGACGACAGCTCCTGTTCAGTGGCTTTCGTCCATGGTTCCGTGTTCCACCACCGTACCTTGCTCATGCTCGACTCCGGAGCCTCCACCAGTATTATCAGCCTAGACCTTGCGCGTAGGTTAAAGCTGAGGGTGGAGCCCCGGGGAAGCTACAGCTTAACGGTATTGATGGAGTGAAGACCAAAGTCACGAATAAGTACCGAGTCAAGATAACACTCGGGCACCGAGTGGTTAACACCCTGGATGTCTGGGTCGGGAACATCGGCCAAGGCATCGACGTTCTCCTGGGAATGAACTTCATGGTCGCCACCGAAGTCCGGTTATGTGCTCACGAAGGAGAAGTGGTGCTCCCCGACGAGGAACGGATACTTCTCGTCGGGGGCCCCAAGCGCTCGCATTTGGGGCGGACCATTGACGTGTCCATACACGAGAGTCTTTGGTTAGCACCCGGGGACAGCAAGTACATCCCGATCTGGACCTCAGAGCCAGACCTCGGGTCCATGGACGTGTGGTAAAGTGCGGTCGAAATCTCACGAAAGAAACAACCTCGGCTGCCAGATCGCGAGATAGAGACGGACCAGGCGGCAGAAATCCCACTATGGGTCGAAACATCAAGTCGTCTCCCCACGATCTGACGTGCGACAACATCGGTGAGTGATGATGACTACGGATGACCCAATACCGACTGCAGATGACCCAAGATCAGCCCGATGGAATGATGGATGGCGACCTACCCGTATCGTAGCGAGAGAATGCCGGATCGAGGGAAATTTGTGGCCAGAAGACCCCATCAACTGACGATCCAGAATTAAAGCGGACCAGCGAATAGAGATCGAGGGGGACGGTTACATTTGGAGCCACGTCAATGGCTGATCGAGATACGCGAGGAGCAGGCGTACCCCGGGTCAAGGTCGGATGGCGATCCGGGCCCCTGAGAAAGAGGCGGGACGAGATCGTGAGGCGGCATCCGGCGCGCACCCCGGAATGAGCAGCAACGGAAGAGAACACCGCGCGATAGTCGCCAGAGAGGATCCCGGATCCCAGGGGCGGCGCCCTCGATCGAGATCGGGACCCCGGATAGAGATCATTGAGCGTGGTCACAGATCGAGGCCTGATCGTGATCGCCGATCGAGACCAGATCGTGATCGCCGATCGCCGATCCCAAGATAAGGTATGTATCCAGATGTCAGGTAATCGTAGGAAAGCAGCTGAGGATGGGTTAGAAGACATAGGGATAAAGTAAACAGACTCGAATTTGCTCTAAGCCACACAAGTGTCCGCCTTCGCCTGGAACCGGGGATTATTTTGGCCCCTCAAGCGTGTAGACGGTAAGGACATGGATCTAGCGTACCGGTTAAGACTGGATAATATATTGGCCAGCTTTGCCCTACCTAGTGACTTGTCCTCTAGTGTTTATTGTTAATCGGAAGGCATTGATTGTTTGGCCAAACGATTGCATCGGATCTCGACCCAACAAGTTCCCCGCTATTGGAAGCGCCAAGCATATCAAGGAAGGGGCAAGATCTCCGCATTTGGACCACCTAAAGACCTGGATCGACAACCACGCAGCTCTATCGCGACTCAAGGACTCGTCTGCGACCGAGATCAACCCAAACGAGGTAGAGCGAAGAAGTTCCGCGCTATCTCCAGCCCCCGCGTTCTATCCTTTTCGGATATACATCAAACGAGTCACCCAGGAGAGCGTAACCCGCCCGCCGTCGGGTACACAAGGTGAGCAAGAACACAATCAGATCACGGATCATCGGAGGGCCTCCTTCGTTAGTCGGTGTCCGGGCGCCAGTGGTATCGGGAACCGCAATCACAAGATTTTCACGGATCCCGCTTCGCCACAGACGTATGGGTACCGTTGGGTGACCCTAGTGGTTTTTAGCACGAAGCGAGTCCCGGTCGCGCTCGGGTGGTGAACATTTCCTGGAGACCGGTCCAGGTACTTCCGCATACCAAGGTTGCCACCCTCACAGATCGGGATCGGTTACCCTTGGGGACCAACTTCGTGCGCCTGGGATCCTACTAGTACGACGAACGTGAATTCCTAGTCTACGAGAACACGCGGTCGCCCGCAGCGGAGCGCCGCCTGGACGCTGAAGTTCGAGAACCCGAACGGAGAGTCGGACCCCGAAGAGGAAGAGAGGCTCCGGGCGATTCTCCGGAAGCACCGAACGATTTTCTTTGGAGAAGGGAACGCGCTTCCTCCCCCGGTTCGGGGCGTCGTGTGCGACCTGGAGGTTGGGGACGCAAAACCCATTTCCATGCGGTCGCGGAGGATTCCTGCCGACCTACTGTCCAAGGTATACGAGTTGGTCAAGCGTCTCCTGGGAACTTGTTTGATCGAGTACTCCGACTCGGAATGGGCATCGGCCATCGTCCTCGTGATGAAGAAGAAAGGTGCCGATGTCGGCTTGTGCATCGACTCCCGGTTGGTGAACCAGCTGATCAAGCTGATGAACCTTCCCCCTACCCCTAATCAACGAACTCATGAGCAACTTCGCCGCCACTATGTGGTTCATGACTCTGGACATGGCAAGTGGGTTCTGGGCGGTTCCAATGACTGTCCGCTCGGACTCTTTCAGTGGAAGCGCATGCCGTTCGGGTTGAAGAATGCCCCATTGATCGACCAACAGCTTCTGGACAATTATCTTTGGGGTTTTGTACGGCTACCCTTGGAAGAGGAACGACCGGAGGTGTTAGAGTTCTTGGGGATTTCTCCCGAGGATTTGGACGCCCCGGCATCCCAGGGCACGAAGCCCCGGGGGGTGGTCTCCAGGACCAGCACAAACACCGTGTTCCATCAAAACCGGGTTGCCCCGGAGCAGATGGAGCCTGTACTGTCCCGGAGTTCGTATATTGACGACACCATCTACGGAGCTCCCTCCTGGGATGACCTGTGCAAAACGCTGAATGCCCTCCTATACCGACTGCGGTACTGGAACATTTCGGTGAGCCTCCCAAAGAGTGAGTTCGGGGTCAAGAAATGCAAGTACCTTGGGCACGATATCAGCTCAGACGGAATGTCCTCAACTTGCCGTTCACGAAGACCCGCAAAGGAGTACAGTCCTTCCTCGGGAGCCTCAATTACTTCGCCAAGTTTATCGAGGATCTACCCGTTCTCGCAGCCACTCGCTACGAAACATCGGACGAGCAACTCCGTTCCTGACGAGATTTGGAGAAACCCAAGCATGCGTTCAAGATACTCAAGGACCGGCTAATATCGATGCCATTGCTCCAGTACCCTGACCCCGGGAGACAGTCTAATACATATTTTTGTAGCATTGGGATCTGCAATTCCGCCTCT